AAACAAGCAACTCCGCAAACTCGTATAGCTTGCTCAATAATTCACGAAGCACGTGAGTCGGCGGTCCGCAACACGTGCGATCAACGAAACGATAAATCATTGAATACCACACGAGCTCGCGACTAGCGAACTCATCATTTTCCTCGATGCATACAATTTCGACTTATCGCGCTTCGATCGACGTGCAAACGAAACAATTTTCAGACGCTTTCGGACAATGCCAGAATCGCCACAACAATCTGGATTGTTTGCGCGGCATCAATTTGGCGATCGACACGCGATAGCCTCGCTCGTTTCTTCGTAGGGAGTGACACGAAACCGCGTTCCAAAATGAGTGCTGTACCGTTCACAAATTAAACAATATATGGAAATACGCTCGCGTGCATTCGGCCTATGTATACAGAGAAAAGCCTTCCAACGAATTTCGTTCGTTGGATTTCCCGTGTAATCCGAAAAATCGCGGCGGCGAATCGCATGTGATTAGGGACAGCGTAGCCATGAAGTAGCGGCAGCGCGCCACACTCTATACAATAAAGATGGCAATTTCTGCCTCTGGCGAAAGTCATATATTCACTTTCTAATTACCATGCAATCAATATCATTGTTTCCACTGTTCATATTGACGGTCTGAATTACCGTCTGTTACCCGGCAAAAGTTGCAATTTAATCAATGCCCTTTTGAGAAAGTTATTTGAAGCACAAGATACAAAATTATGCACTAGTGCGTTTGACTTTTTTGGTGATACCGAAAAAATTGTTCTCCTTATATGTACGCAAACGTACAATACATAAAACACATTGACGTCATAATTTTTCATCTGGAAGATTATCTTTCTAGATACTATAATACACGCTACACATTTCCACGTGTACTGCCATGTATATTAGTTGGACGGGTGTTCATATACTGAACTTAAAAACACGCGAAGTCGTTGATCGACCTGGGATCAGCTGTACCTTACACGTCACAGATATACGAGTCTACGTGAATGCTTACGCGATCCTCGACCGGCGAATGAAATGCTTCTGTTTATACTTCTCGACTATTTGTAACGATGGCCTCTGCCGAGGGTTGGCGTTTCGTAGTGCCAATCCAAATTACAGTTTCTCTGCAACTGCATGCAGCTGAAAGATGATGATTTAAAAACTATCTCTGGGTATTGCGCTCTACAAGTTTTTCGCGAGAGACAAAGCGAAGAGGATTCAATTTCACTTCTAATGAAAGTGATTTGTCTGCAAAAAATGCAAAAGAAAAAAACACTATTCCGAGCGCTCGTCGTTCATATTCCTGAGAGCGCCTGGGCGTCACGCTCTCTCCCTACATAACTCGACTCGGCGACCGAAAAGGGTGGCTGCAGCTCGCGGCTTGCCGCCCTCGGCATGCCAATATATCGTCCGCGGCGCATAAGCTCCCCGCCAGAGAGGTGAGCCTCCGCGCTCGCTGTAGCCCGGCCAACTCTGATATCGATACTCGTGCTCATGGGTAAATACCGAGGATGCATGCAGCATGCGATTTCAGGCACACCTTCAGAATGTCGCCTTCGATATTCAGTTTTGTCAATTTTGAAAGGATGCCAAGGGTAGCGTTTATGCAGCACAGCGCGAAAACGTAATCGCTTTGTCGTCGTTCGCACATCTGTTTGGGAACGAAAGCCAAGGGCAAATCCGATTTGCTTTCATACGAAAATCACATACGCGCGAATGTAATAATCAGTAGCCGGCTTTGAAAAGTTCTCATTGCTCGGCAGTCGAAAAATAGGGAAAATCGCGAGCCCGAGATCGCTTATGGATCGACCACGGAATTTCCCTAATCGAATTCGAAAAGGCATCCGACATCGCGTCAAATAGGCACAATCAGGGGCTGCCAGCTCGCACGCGCCGGCCAATCAGAGCCTTTATTCATACTCCGCTCGCTGCTGCCGCGAAATTACGGTCACGTAGCGCCTTTTCGCTGCACGCACATCGCTCGGAGAGTGACTGTTTTATTTTATTCGGGCAATGGTTCTTTTTCTTGATCGAGGCTATGAATTTATAAGTGCAGGCCAAAAGATATCGAGCGATAAGTGTTGGTAGGATCAAAGGCTGCATATTTATCGATACGTTGACTATAATCCTCTTTGAAACAGCCACAGCGCGTTTGAAGTGATAATTCGACCGAGGAAACTCGATCTGAACTCAGCCCATAAAGATCGAGCACCAAAAATGCAAAGGCCACGAGATTCTCGAAGGCTCCCTTCGATGACACGTGCACTTAAGCGACGACTTCCTGCCCAAGTGCGCCAGTAGATGTGGCCCCTCGAGCCGCCTGCCGACTTCCCCACATGTGTAATTTCCAAGATCCCCTCCTTCTTGTTTTTCAAATATCCGCAAGACTGCTGAGCCGGCAGATAGCGAAAGTTTCGTCATGCAGATTGATGGCGTCAGATGTGAATCGGCATCAAATTTAAAATGCGGAAATCGAAATCATTTGAATGGAGGACGTGAACACTTGGTCGAGCTTTAAAACACGGGAGCTCGCAAACTTCGAAATGGCCAACGAATCTGCGGCCATCCACTAATTTGGGATTCGAGCGAAGCGACCAATCGTCACGAACAGGAAAGCTCTCGGCATCCGTCTTCTTAGCACCTGTGCCGTGAATATTTCAGGCGGGCGAGACGTGCTTGAGTAATCAAGTGAGCAAGGGGAGATAGCCAAATGCAATTAGGCCGAATGTCCGAGGCAGATGCCCAGCGGCGCGGCCGGCTAGGCTTTGTCGGAGCAATAAATGCCTCTGTAACCCTCTGCCGATTAAACCGTTTGTAACTCACTCGCTTTATTGCCCCCGAAGCTCTGCGCGAATAAATACGCGCGTGATGCGCTTCGCTCGGTCGTCCCGCTGTTTTCTCAACCAGCTCTGATTACTTTTGCCAGGTGCTCCGGGGCCTTGCTTCACTACCAATGTCACTTTTTTCACGCCGATGAGGCATCGCTCAAAGCCTTTCTCAATACGGAAATAGCCAAAGCTCTCGATCCCGCGGCGAACAGTCAACGCCACCGCTCGTCGCTTGCCGCGATTTCGCGCTCCGACTTTTTTTCTACGCGACGTCCGATATGATCGGCTTTCCGGCTTTCCAATGCGATCGCGGTTAGTTAGTGAGAAACGAGTATCGGCGGAAGCCACTCCCGACTTCCAAAACGAGACTGGAGATCGCGATAAAAGCACTGGTCACCAAGTCGACCGTCATTTAGCGCTCGTCACGTTTATTCACCCCGTGGAATGCGGAATAATCATTTCGCCGAACGAAATATCGCCATTAATTGCACATTTTTCTCATTGCCTGCTTTCGGCTCTTAATACATTTGATTTGAAAAGCGAGTTATTTTCAGTCGTGGAAACTTACCATGATCTCTTTTTGTTGGCTCATCGTTCGACAACTCAGTGAGCGGTCGTTTGGTCCTTCATTTACGAGCTTTTCTGCGCATCCACGTGCCCAAGAGTATTGACGACTGGCAAGGCTGTTGCAGTGTCCCAAGGGACCTTTGCAAAAAATGAGCCTGTAAAAAATTTAAAAACAAATATCGGGTTGCTGGACAGTTCTCGCGGACCACTGGCTTTGACCCTTCGGTTGCCTCGGAGACAACGAGCAAACAGATCGGCGATATTACATGCTTTTGCGCACGTGGCTTTGTTCCCATCGAATGCGCACTGATACTGTCCGCCCATTGCAGCAGCCGCGGGCAGGTAATTTCCATTTTGGAAAACTGCAACTTCGGGGGAGTACGGACGCATGTGCGGCTATCCGGCGCGGCCTTGTCTTCCAATTAACGCCATTGTTCGGGGCACACGCGTGTGTACACATGCCTCCCAGGCTTACGCACCACCACCGCTGCTGTTAAAGCTGTATATACTCAAAGGGGAGGGAAGCTCGATTTGCGTGTCCAAGCCCCGAACCCTGGCTTTGCTCTTAGCAAATTGTTGGATAGGCATCACTACCATTGCCTTGTTTTATTTTGTTCCGTCGGTGATCGAAGCTGACATTATATACGATGATTATACGTGCTATAATAGCTAGGGGGTGATGTGCATTATATTCTTCAATATATTTAAATATTATTTTTTTAATCTTTTACAAATTTTCTCTATCATGGTAATATGTCTAGGTCAAATTATTTCATCGATGTTCCAGCATTTGAACTCTTTTTCAATCATCAAAATTTATTATTTACCCTAACTAACGAATTACCCGATACAAAAATCGGCTGGTCTATACCGATCTACGCAATTACAGAAGTACCTGCGAGACGATATTTACTCGACGCTGCTTTTTTTCTTCAGTTTGCTCTTGTGCTTGAATTTAATTTTTTTTAGCCGACCTTCGTCGGTCAGCTTTATCATCGGGCAATAACTCCGTACTAAGTACACCACAAAACTCAACATTCCTCCAAATGATTACTGTTGTTCTCTTGCGTTATTCGCTTTGCACAGTGCTTTGCTCGAGGAACTTATTTGTAGCGGCTAGACTTCTGCAGATTGCGACAAAACACGAAAACACCTATTTATAAAGTGAGGTGCAGAGGCTCTAATGAAGCGGCTGACCCGTTCGCTGTCAACGACTCAATCATTGAGTTTTCAACCCATTGCTCGGCCTTCAAATTTCTTTTGAAAAAAAAATTATTTTGACCACTATATTTGATTCTCCTCTCCTTTCTCTACGACTACTTGGTGTAAAAAGCCCGCCAAATTTTAGAATTTATGGTTCGCGGGATTTATCAAAATTCCACATTCTTTCGCGCTGGAACGTACATGCAAAGTTGTAGGCACATTTATTTTCAGCGTTCGTTGATATATACAACGTTGAAAAGTTGGAAATTGATGTGACACAGCTTTAGCATCTGTGAGATTCAAGAAACGACCCTTCCATCATTCCCGATCGCTAATACGAACCGATCAATAGCCACAATGACTTTTCCAAAGTAAACAAGAGATGTGCCAAAGCAATATGTGTGTTTTATGTTGCAGACTGCAGCTTTCCATCGACCTACAGCGGAAGGTGGTTTCAGATGGGCAAAGAGGGACCCATCATCGCCAACTCGACGCACTTGCTCGACAGGAGATGTATAGCTAGAAAAGGCAACGACACCTTCCTTACTTACGATGAAAAGTAAGTTTGAAAAAGCGTTCCCCGCTGCCATCGCCACGAACTTTGCATTTTTTATTTACAACTTTTCTTTCCCTTCTAACTTCAGTCGACTAACACACACACACACACACACACACACACACACACACACATCCACTCTTTATTTGACTTTGTCAAGTAAATTAAATTCTAAATCGCTATCCTACGGGAAATAACGTGAATTCTTTGTTTTTCCAATTTTAGCACGGAAAAATGCTACCGGTGTATGATATTCACGGAGCGACACGAAAACGTCATCCAGTACCGAGAATGTGAGTCAATTTAATTCATTTTTGCCTAAGTGAATCACGCGATAAAAAGCTTCCACAATCGAGTTTACAAGTGTTGAAAGGTTAACAATAGAAAGGCAGCATTCGCGCTTGACCAATGGCTGCCATTACTACATGAGAAAAATGCACGTGCATTCACCGAAAATTTGCATCCATTTTTCGGCTCCATTTTTGAACTGTGTAAATTATTTAGCTTTAAGCCACGACTCTCGAAGAGACGGAGCGAAAACTCATAAAATATTGCACATAATCCGCCAGAAAAATCCCGTAAAAATCCGCCATTAGGCAGGCATAAGTACGAGAAACTCATTAAAAAGGGGGAACAGGACGAACGGCAAAGAGAGCGATGATAATTCAGCGCGCATCGGCGTCGTTAAAAACTCATAAAGCCTCGGCGGCGGCCATGTGTCGCTGTATGGTATTATGCCGCTGCAGCGCCAGTGGAAAGCGAATAAAACTTGCGGCTGACACATTGCGATGCAATATGAAATCGGCCGTCTGGCTGTAACGGCGCCTGCACCGTGACGATGTACCTACGAGCTTCGATTGCTCTGCCAAGTGCTTTTCCCCATTGCCGCTTCTACCTATTAGTATGCATTGAAAAATTGTTTATTTTTCCAACTGTTAGCTGGTGTCCGCCAAAATCAGTTGAAAAAGTAAGCCACGGTATCTGCGCTTCAGATCAACCGAATAATAATAATATCATCGTCGGACATAAATAACAAAAAATCCACTCTAGTATCACGTAAAATCTTAGCGGAGCATCTGCTATCGCGATGCGACACGTAGTTGACGCCAGGTGTCCTAATGGATTACCAATAGAGGCAAGTTCAACCACGGAAAAAGCAACAACGGCTAATCGTCGCGTAACACTAATGCGATCCGAGTCCACGCTCATCCGGTAATTATGGCCACAAAGACGCCCTCAATCATGGTAATGCCCCTTGATTAATTACAGGACCGTTATTTTTTTTTTTTTTTTTCCACAATACAACCTCACTGCAGCGGTATAAAAGAAACAATCCCCGCCATACAAAATCGATATACGCCCATAGAGAACCGACAAAATACATGTCGCGAGATATTCAAAATTATCCGGCGAAAGACAAAAAAAATTGATCCGCGAGAAGAGAGAAAAATAGGGCGAGTTCACCCTCGTGCCATATGCCGAGAACTGACTGCAGCTCGGTTCGCTGTTTTCCATAATTGTTTTCCAAGAGTGTGTCATGGCGACCGATTCGATAGGTAAAAGAGAGAGAGAGAACAAAAAATCGCAGCCTTCTGACACGCATGAAGGGGTGTCGGCCTCGCTTACGTCACGGCCGGAGCATTGTCCGCTGACGTACCCCTCAGCTTCGCGCGATTGTCTTCGACTCGAGTGGTGGACTTGATTTGCTGTACTCTCGCGTGCGGCCAGCAGTATGATTTTGACGCAACAGCCGGAATCGGGGAATCGGAGGGGTTGACGCTCGGGAACATTTTCCGTGGTTGAAATGGCTGATTACGGCTGATATATTCCCGCGGATATCGATCCTTATTTGTTAATTTCCATTGTAGATGGCTAGCATGACGACACGGTAACACTCACAAATGAAACGTGCAAAATCTAATCAGCAAATATCGCTCTAACGATCTTTAACTTCCCAGAATATCTTGTCGGCATAACTTATGAAATCTTGGTAAGTGCTTCAATGCCACTGTTTAGCTATCTTCAACATTTCTCTCGTAACCGGTTGGTCTTGTTTGTCGGAGTGTAGTTTCGATGTCACTTCTACTGTGAGCCAAAGTGAGATTAAAAAAGCAGAACACACGTACGTAGAAAAGCAGAGCATTCAGTGATATTCATATTCTTTTCGGTATAATTATGTAGTACACGGCTCGCGCATATCTCAACGGCGGTAAATCATTCTCGCCAATGTGTCGCTTGTCGATTTTCAACTCATCCCTGTCGCTCGCTACTAATTCATATTCATCATCCGAAAGTTCGGCTATAAATTCTGCTAATTATTTCGAATGCGATCAAAACTAAACTAAAATCAAAGTAACAATGCGTGGTTTATCGGAATCGGATGAAGAGAAAACTTGTGACATACAGAGCTTTATTTTTCAGCATGGTTCGGGATGTCCCCACGACTCTAACGCAAATAAAAGAACCTGTTGACAAATCTCTTCGTGTCGCAGAATAGTCCACGGTAATTAACATTTTCATTGATCGCGCCTCAACGATAATGCTATCATTTAATAGAGGTGAAGCGGAATTAAATCACATTCGCGTTATCACTGAATCCAATTAAAAAGCCGCTCGATAGGAATTATTGAACGACCTCAACGATACAGCGTTGATTGAAAAAAGAAACGCAAAAACAATATCGCAGTTTGACGCGAGTCGATAGAGAAGCAAATCCGCATACTACTCTCCGGATGTTGTTTCCTCTCCGGGCAGCAGATTCTCATCCGTCAGTTATAAACCGGATCTCTATCATCCTTCCAGCCCCGGCAGTTATCTCTGGTCGATGGCTACCGTATCGGAAACCCGAGGAAAGCTAGCCGATTGGACTTTGTTTTCCTTTTTTTTTTCACGAGAAAAAAACCGCGAAGCTCGAATGAGAGAAGCTCCCTGGTGCGTCAAATGCACGCGGGAGAGAGAGTCAAGAGGGATGCAGATTAGCTTTTTATTCGCGCACGAGTGCATCGCGCGCGGCGCGAGGCGCGTATGAATGCGCCGAGAGGGAGACTGCCGATTGGCTCGGCGCGCGGCCGAAAAATTCAATGAGATCTGTATTGTTCGCCGTCGCAACGGCAATTTCGAAATTCGGCTAAAGCTTTGGATAATCGAACGTATTCTATTTCCCAAACTTATACCTTCGACACAATGTCAGCCAGTCCTTTTTGCCTCTTCTTCGCGGCTGATCCATCGAACAGGCTGCCGCGAAAAAGAGTGCATTCGCTCTCATCGCCATCGTAACATCTATTTTCGAGCCGCGCGTACGGCGAAGCCAAAAAAAAATTTCATTTCCCGCAGCAATATGCCTTGAAGATACAGGCGTTTTACGCCGGCGAAAACCCATTATAAACGTCGCTGCTGGAAAAAAAGTGGCGAATCGCAAAAGGATCAGCCGGAGGTTACTAATAGACGATTTATCTCGTGGAGATTAATAACGTCGATCACTTCCGCGAAAGCGGACCCCTTCTCGTGCGCAGCAATGTTCGCAAATTCCAATTACTCGCTATTTTTAACAGCTCTCTCCTTCCTGTTTTTTCTCCCCCCCCCCCCCTTTTTTTTTTCTTACGTCGCAAGAGATGCACTGCGGTCGCGAATTAGAAGGCGTCGATATAAATCTCCGCGCGCGAGAGCGCATCGCATGTGTCTCCGAATGCAGCCTGCGAGGCGGCCGTAAATCAAAAGCTCATAGGCGCGAACTGTATATTTTCCTTTTGGCGCTCCAATTTTTTTGCCCCCTGAAAGAGAATGGAGTGACTACGAGTTGATGTATATCGGGCAGCCCGAGATCGACAGACCAATGTTTGCTACTTTATTGAAGAATTTTGGTCTTTTCTTTTTTTCCCCCTCGCGATACTGAGTTTGCGGTGGCTTTTATAGCGCTGTTCACTCGCATATGGCTGTCGATGTTGTCTGTAACGAGAAATCATCTTTTTTTGGGCGCTTTCTTTACTTGCTTTCTTTTTACCCGAAAAAAATGTTTTTTTTTTTTTCGATTTCAATCGTAACCTAAACTATAGATAAAACAGCAGAGTCTTTTACAACCTTAAATCAGTTCGACATATCTACCTCTACAATCAAGCCCAAAATAGCGAGATTCCCTCTTGCAAGAAAAATTCTTTGAAAAAAAGTGAAAACATATGAATGAAACCTGGAAACGATTCTGTTCACAAAAAAAAGCGTGGCTCCGCAGTTTGAGTTTGAAAATAGCCGTCGCGCGCCAGTCAGCAATCAAAGAATGCGAACGACGCCCCAAGTATAGAAAAAGAAGGAGGCTAGACGTTTACATCAACTGCTCCTCGAATCGAGAAGCCGCGCTCCCTATCAAATGCGCATCCACTCGCAGTTCTTTGTCGTGCCCGCCCGTGCCGTGACTCGCTCGAGCAAAAAGAAATACATAAAGAAGAGCAGTTCCTCGGCAGTCGTCGTTGCGAAATAATGGCGCGTCGCATTGTCACTTTAAAAGGGATCGAGTCCGCGGCGGCCAATAAAGACAATGCGCCGAACGCATTGTTCGGATGCGTCGAGTCGTCGTCGTCGTCGTCGTCGTCGTCGCGCGCGCAGAGGCTTAATCAAGAGAAAACCCCACTGCCGAACCCAGAGTCCGACGACCGAGTTTTTGTCGGCCATTGTCACTACGGAGCAGCTACTCCTATATGCTCTCGTCACTCGTAGCGATTATTTTGCAAACCATGCCAAGCTATGTTATTCGTGCTTCGCACAAAAAAATAGAATCTTCTTTCAACGCTTTGGCGTTTTGGTTCAGAGTAAACTTGTATGAAATTATCTAGGATTAAAGCGCTAAGAAATTATTGCTCCATTGAGAACTTAGTTTTTAGTTTTACTGCATTGATTATTTCAAAACACTGTAAAAATTAACTAGAATTTGCAAAGCATTTATGATTTCTCATGACAATTCCGCTTTTTAATCTTCACATTAGCACTTATGCTACGCTTATTCTCAAAGTATATGTACTCTATATAGCAGCATCGTGCTTAGAAGCCTCGCTGGCGGTCAAGCCATAACTTAGTGCAGCCGTTATCAAATACTAAGTCACGAATAAGTGAACCGTAACTGCCAATTTAAGGGCACTGCAATAAAATAATGGCCGATACTCGCACTATAAGTGACATTCGACGGCAGGGCATTGAGCTACTCGTCGTGCCGTTAAGTGTCGCTTCTAACAGTCATTGTATACTACTAAAATTTCGTAAAATGTATAAGAAATATTCAAGCTTATCCCATTTTTACCAACACAAAGTCAATAATTTTTTCTTAGCTCGACTTACGATTCCTACTTGAGTAATTTTTAAGAGAATATTAATCTTAACTGTACGACAACATTGTGACTGAAAATTATAACTTGAATTATAACTTTTCAAACTCTTTGCCGTACGAACTTCTTTATTTTCGAAGCTTATTCAGAGAATGATAAACACCTAGAGATTCACGTGAAACTCACAGAGCTCGCGGTAAATAATGGATGCGCATCTGCAAAACCGATTCGCACGTGTGAAGTTCAGTCGGACCCTTACACCGTTCATCACTTAGTCAAGAGGGAAGCTTCATAAAGCAGCACGGTCGAGTCAGATTATGCCCAAAATGCATAAATTATCAAAGGACCGTGGAGGTGGTGTCCCCGGGGAGCGAGCTTTTCTGGCAGCCGTAAATACTGCGGGGAGGGAGGATTACATACGTCCCTTTTACCTTTTACCGGGGCGCCGATGTGCGCTTGCGAAAAACTCGTTGGCAGATTGAATGTTCGCGGTCGAGCTCTCGCGAACGAGGCATTCACTCGAAGCTCGGCAGTCGTTACGCGCGTTTGCTTTTCTCTTTTTCCGCGGCAGCGTCCTACTGTTTGTCGTACGAGGTGGACCTGGACACGGCCTGCGGCGAGCTCGCCTCGGACGACAGCCTCTACTCGATGTTCCGCATCGACGCCAAGCCCATCAGCTGCCCGTTCAGCGGCATGCCGTTCAGCTTCAGCTACAACCGCGGCCACGGCGACTGCGAGGCCCTGGAGAACCAGGCCGAGAGCTGCACCGACGACAGCAAGCTGCTGCTCAAGTACCAGGCCTGCGCCGACATCAAGGGCGCCGAGAGCAGCAGTGAGTCTCCGAAAGAAGGCGCGAGTGCCCAGTGCCATTCGACTCTAACTGGATTACGCGTGCTGTCTGTTCACAGCCGAGGAGCTGCAGTGCCTGGCCACGTGGAAGGACGGCCGCATCATGTACCTGCTGGGCACTCTCAAAGTGCCCGGACGACCGCAGGTCTACGAGGACACCTACAGGTGCGTTGCGCATCTTCGGACTCGACTCTGTCTTTATCTTAATTGCTCGCGTTTGTCTTCGCCGGCAAGGTATTTGTCTTGGGCGTCGCGGCGGTTTTCGGAACATTCATTGGGGCGTTGGGAAACGGCCACTTTCGCTTTCTTCGATTAATCGAGGAAAGAAAGAAGTATTTCACGAAAGACATTTATCTGTATGATGTATTATTATTTTTAAAAAATTGTAAGGATAATGCAAGAAGTTTTGAGATCGCATGCCTATATTTAAATTTTAACTGCTCAATAGGAAAATCAAGTTCGAAGTAATCTAATGGTCAAACATTAAAGAGAGACTAGACGAAATTAGCTGCGGAAAGCTCTACCCAATTAATTCACCCTTCTACCAAGGGAAGTGTCAGTTAGAATTATTCAAAGTTCAAGTATTGGTCTTGCTGCGGGTCTTTTCTCTTCAAGTGAGCCACAGTTCACATCAGAGAAACTGCTATTAAGCCTTGCACTCGATTCGGATTAGCATGATCACTCTGTCTCTCAATTCCATCGGCGTCTGCGCCCGCACAATTGCTATAATAGAAAAGACCAGCGCTGATCAAACGCTGCCAACTAATCAGAATCAACAGTCGCGAGCGAACATTTCGTTCTCTACTTATCGACTTCCAGTGACTAAGATATTCATTTTTATTACTTCGCATTGCTGAGTAATTTATCGATTAACTTTCGATCTACATCAGCAGTGAATCAATTAATCGGAATGTTAAATTTATGAGCTTGCAAATTGAATTTGTCTAAAACTGCCGAGATGTCGTGAAAAATTAATGAACTAAAATTAATACGAAAAAAAAATGAAACAGAGAGTGTTTGGAGACCACATCGCTTTTTATTACTAAAAAAAAATTTACAAAGGAAGGATTCACGGTCTAACAATGTTGATAATTTCACGCGTTGCACAAAGCCCCGTTCAAACAAGGGAGTTTCGCTCGTCGGTGGCGGCGAGTCCTAAGAAAGTTCAGCAGAAGCGAAAGCGTTGATTCATCGTGGAAGAGGCCGCGCGCCAACTTACCCACGACTCGCGGTTTCGAGTTTCGCACGACGCTCTAATTGCACTGCAAGTCGCTTTCAAACGAGAAATAAAAAAAAAAGAAAGAAAGCGCGTCTAAGGGCGACATTGATCCACGCCAATTCAGCACGTTGCCTCGGCCATTAACAAGTAAATCAATCAGACCCGTAACAGGATTCTTTTCTTTCTTTTTGTTTGAAGGTGCTTCCTGTACGAAAAGATCCACCACGTCAACAGCAACAAGACTGAGTATCTGATATCGCAGTCGGGCGATCAAAGCTGCAACGGCCTCACTGCAGTCACCGAAGGGGCAAGGACTTTCCATTTCATCAAAGGTTTGCATTTCCGGATTTCATCTGTCATTACATCCGCACGACCCTAAGTCTGTCTTCTGTTTTTTTTCGCAGTGGACAAAGAGCACACCAAGTGCAAGTATCCCTCGTGGGTGACGCAGCACCACGACTGGCATCTGCTCGACGGATCGCGCAGTTACCACTTCACCACTGGCAACTCTACCCTGAAGGTCACCTACCGCGACGAGTACGATCGAGAAGAGAAAGTTATTTGCCATAATCTTGAAAAAGTGCAAAGCGATCATCGAGGTACTGCCGTCAAACTCGTGGCTCATGTTACTAGTGGATGGTAAGCTTGAAACAAAGCAGACTTGAAACGTCGATCCAATTATTCCTAAACACTTATTCCGAATGACAGTGACACTGGCTACATTTGCATGATCTTTCGCAAGCGAGATGGACACGTCATCGAGATTCAGCAGTCCAGTGAGTAGACAACTGTTCAATTTTCGAGCAAACCTCTCGAGTGACATGAATCACGTATGAAACGAATACGCGACTCTTTTTTTTAGATCAAAAGATGATTATGCCATATGAAGCTTGCACGCTCGATGATCCATCAAAGCAGCCATTTTCTACTTTAATCAGTAGGTTTTTATTATTTCGTTTTCATTTTTTCGTTTTCATCAGTCAACCTGATACTCGAATAATTGTTAACAAATGGTTGTGTTTGTTTACAGCGTCGAATTTACACAAGCGCTCTTGTCCACAACCAGGCCATTATACTGTTATTGATCTTCTCTCGACGCCTCAACTAAAACTTTCTCGACACCATCGAAGTCTCGTTAAAAGACGGGCATGGAACGGAGAGACTAACGAGGCTGGATCACCGAACGACGACTGTCAAAACACTGACGTTCAAATCGGCTGTACATCTTCCGGACCTAACGAAATGATTATTCAAGAGTCGTGCAAGAGGACTGACACGGGTAAGATGAAAATGACAAACAACGTGCGTCAAAAGCTTTCTAGCAGTACTGTAATTAATTTCGTATAAAGTTTTAGCCTACTCGTGTCATGGGAGCTGGGAGGAAAACGGCACATGGTACACCATCGTGTCGCGGAACAAGACTGGTCTGGAGAAAGAGACGCTGTGCGTCTCGATGCGAGTGAGCGAAAGCACGAAGGAATTACCGGGTAGAGTTGGCAGAGTGGAGCAACAGGAACTCTGGCTCTCGAGGCCACAGACTGTCTGTCAACGAAGCGTCTCCGCCGATCAATGGACTTACAAGCTCGCCAATCAAGGTGCGTAAGAAAATTTAATTGTAAAGTATAATTTTAAAAGATACAACTTTTCAGAGGGTCAATAAAAAAGCTTGCGAAATGACGCAACACGATCGTACGTAAATAACCCACCGGCATTGTGTTCACAGGTGTATGCGAAGATCTGATGAAAGAGGCCTCCAGCTCGGCAGCATCGTCTAGTCTGATGAGGGTCTCGGTGGAGATGTCAGTTGTTGTGACGCTGCTGTGCGGTATCCTATCAAGATGATATGTGACTGGACAACAACAGCCAGCGTTACGCGCTTAATGCGCTATCGACCTACTCGTTCTTCCGCACTTTGCCTGCGTGCGACCGTCGATTCTGTGTATAAATATCATTATATATACGTGTATATTACTTTGTATACAATCGGATGCGAAATGTTGGTGGAACGAAGGTCAAAAAATGGTACCTACATTAAACGTGCAAATAGGCATGTCAGAATAACAAACATTTAAAAAATCTATCTTCAATTTACCGACTGGATTCACATTATTTTTTTTTGTAAAATTTATAAAACAATTGATTGAATTGTATTTGTGAATGAATACAAATTACGATAATTATTATAGGCATTATAATGCTTCGTAATCAAATTGTTTAATTCATTTTGCCTTTCTGAAGAGAAAAAATCAGAATATTCAAATTTCTCATTGCATAGTCAAATTCGTAATTATATTCAATATTATGCAATGACATTGATCATAGAAATGAAGGCAAATCTAAATACGACCAAGTTGCTGACGAGAGAATACTGAATAATGTTTGAACTTACTGAAAAGCCTAGTTTGAAATATCATGAAAAGTATGTAATATAACCGCTTGTAAATAATATTAGGGTGTGAATGAGCTATAAAACTTTCAGTTTAAACATCGACTAAAAGTAGCACCAGTTACGGATCGGTGACTTATTTCACACTATAATATTTGATAGTGTATTCTGTAACTAAATGTATACATGCATGTACATGATGATTGAAAAATTATGTAGGTATAAAATTGTGAGGAAATTGATATTACAGGTAATAACGTTTAATGATTTTGGATGTTTTTCTTCGAAGTTCTTTCATCCTTATTATCAGAAGAGAATCATCTGAGTATTTCATTCTTTGTTTTATTTCTTATTATTTATGTATGATATGTTTATAAACTGAAAAAATCTTTGACAAATTGTCATTGTAGAAAATTACGAAAACCTTCTAACAAATACAAATGTAAAGTCTTCAAAATTGTTTAATACGGATATCAAATATAGGATTGAAATTAGCTATTAATACAAATTCTAATAATATTTATTTAATATTAAATTATTGATTTCTATAAACTATTAGACAATATGTAAAAAAAATAAGTCCATTTATTAAATCAATCACGGAATAAGATGATAAATAGATTAAGCGCGCACACACACGCGCTCACATGCACGTGCACACACGTCAATTCCAAACAATTTTTTTAGTTTGTATATAACGAATGTTGTTAATGTTGATATGTGAAGTTTTTTTAACACATTTTTAATTTGCAGATCAATTTAATGCTTTAATTTTTATAACATTTATTGCTTTCCGTCAATCTTGTAGCTAAAAGAGTATTAATACATACTAGGTGTCGGTAGCAACGAATTAATTATAAATGTATATAAAAAATCGACAAGTATCGAATATAAGATAATCGACAAGGTCTAAAAATTGAATGAGACGTTTTGTCGATATCTAAATCAGTGGATTTTCTGCATTTGCGATTGCGGACCACATTCATACTGCGTTTTCAATAAAGGACAGTAGTTTAAGTGGAGATGCAAATGAAGGATGTAATTATTTTTAGATAATGAGTTGTGGAGTGTTAGTATAGTTGAGAGCTTGATAATTGCAAAATACAAAAATCTTACAAAAGTCATTGTAAAAAGTTAAGAAATGTATAAAATAAACTGAGTGATAGCTATTTCCAATTGATTATCGCGAAAAAAAATTATTCTGTACAAGAAAATGATAAACGTGTGTATATATATATATATATATATATATATATATATATATATTTTTTTTTTTATCACTGTGATGAAGACATTATAATGAATAACATTACGTTAAGTCAGTTGAGTGTTTGTTCTCTTGGCACTATATTGCACGTAAATTATTCTCAAAGTATAAACAACTCAATGTCAAAACTTTAACAACTATAAAAAATCTGTATATGTGGTATGAATAATGAAAACGAAAAAAAATACGAAAATACCATTGCGTGAGCATTGACTAATTTTTGCAAATCATACCCACTACAAAGAATTATACGTGACTGTATTTTTGGTGAAATGAAGTGACATGATACTTTGAGTTAATAACTAAATAAAACGCAGATTTTGATACCAAGTAAAGTTTGTACTAAAAATATAATATTTATAATAAGAAGGTAATTATAGGTGTATCAATCGTCGAAAAAATTTTCGTATAAACAATGGTTGAAATCTGTTTCCTGTATATTAACTAACAACATAGTTGCTCAGTTATTGACAATTAAAAATTGAAAAAGTACATAGTATCCAACGTCAACAATGATTTTATTCCTTATCGACGTTGTATCAAAGCTCACATCATGTATAATGTTTACCATTATATTTTGAATACAAAATATACATAAATGAAAATCTTATAAAATGCTTTTTGTTTTTATTTGTTTTCTGACCGGTTCCGTCCTTTCACTTCCAGACTGGCTGCCTTCAGTGGGTACAAAATATGTTTATAAAACTTTGCAGTCATGTTGATACATTCAAAACCAGGAACTGATGGAATTTTAGAGGAAATAGGTCGAATTTTTAATTGACAGTACTTACTGCCAGTTATAGATATTTATAGATATATTATAGATATTTATAGTTTATAAACGCAAAATACGATTTCGAAAGAGCTCAATGTGTCGATTTTTCGAAGGATCAGATTCTTAAAAAAGTCGAATTCGAGTGGCAATGCCTGCGGAAGTTTGCAATCATAATAGTTGTGGAGCCGCATTCATTTTACCGTGTGAAAGTGACAAATATATGTACAACTGTTTTAACGTCTAAAATACTTATCCATTGCGACTACCTGTTACAAAGATGAATAACCTTTCGATTTGAACAACTAGTATTTTTCGTAGTGTCAATTTCTTGATATAAGAAATTTCTATATAACCCATATAACCCAATAACCAATATAACCTAATTTTTTGAAAATTCTATATTTTCGGATTTCTAACATATTCAATTGATCCTTTTGAACAACTAGTATTTTTCGTAACATTAACTTCTAGATATAAGAAATTTCTATATAACTAAACCCCATTACCCATATAACCCAATTTTGTACAATCTCTTAGATTTTTGCGAGCGCATAGAAAACTTATAACCTAACTTTTTGAACATATTTCTTGATATAAGAAATTTTCATATAACCCGAACTCAAGAACTTTTTAAAAATTCAATATTTTCGGATTTTTCATTATGATTACAGCATTATATTCAACAAAAAAGGCTGGAATAAAATTTTTCTAAGAAACCAATATAGCATGCAAAACTAATGAAGATCGAAGAACAAGTTTCAGTATAATAAAATAAATTGTATGGTTATAATGCCTACTCACCTGCAGAAGTTTACCTTTTCCTAAAGGTGTAGAGGCTGCCGGGGGGGGGGGGGGGGGGGGGTGGTAGTAATAGATTTCATTCATAATACAATTTGAATAATGGTTATAAAAATATAAAAATTTGTGATCATTATATTAGGATATATTAAGAAATACTATGTGGTAAAATCATCAAATTAATTATTTTTATACAGTATGTGACTATGATAAAATGAGCCTTCTTTGCTGTCTTCCTAGAATGTCGATATATATGTATATTATACACACACATCTGAATTCTAAATCTACACTGAATACATACAAATGATCGTCTTTTCAAGATTTTATTACTCAGATTATTTCCTAATTAAGTGAGTAAATGGTTACAAAAAAATCAATGAAGAAAAAAAAATCTTAAATATAGAACTGAAAAAAAGTTAACTTATTAAAGTTTAAGAAATACCAAATAGGATGTTGATAGAAAAGAGACCATAAAATTTCTTTTTTATGTATATTTCGTATTCAAAATATAATAATAAACATTACACATGATGCGAGCTCTCATACCACGACAGTCAGCATTAAAACCGTATCTTACATTTTTATCGCGTTGTTTTTTTTTTTAATAGTCGAGCACATATGTTATAAGTCAATATCTAAAAACAGACTTTCAACGATTTTTTTGTGAGAGAAAATTCATCAAAAATCGATTAATATGTTACAACTTTCTAGTAGAAAAGTTTATACTTTCATTACAATGTTTACTGCGTATAAAAATCGTTTCTAGACATTAACTTCAAATATCGTCTCGCTTCGTTCCATTTGCAATACAAAGATGCATAACTACTGGTTTAATTAGGTCCAGAGTATTTCAGATAGATAAGCAAAAGACCCATACAATCATACTTTTTTCATTAAACATTCCAGTTATTTACACATCTATTCACTCAATTCCCAAGTTGTTATAGCCTTGAAATTGAATTTTGTTACTCGATGAATATTTGTTTCACAGTATTGAGGCAAGACAAAACAACACTCAACCGTTTCAACTTCACTTTTATTCTTTCATCGTTATAATTATGTATTTATCACAGTGATAAACGAAAAATATATACACATATAGAATATATATTCATCATTTTCTTGTATAGAATTTTTTTTATATCGATTGAAGAGAAATAATCACCACATTGTTTACTTTATATTATCAAATTTTCACAAAAACTTTTTCAAATTTTTGGTTTTACGCAAATACCCAAAATTCTTACATTATCAAAATGTCACAATTCGTTTTTTGCAAGAAGCTACATCTTTCAGTTTCATGTTTGCATTCATTCTCAGTAATTGGTTGAACACCAACAAAAAAGAGCAATAGGACATTCGAGTAAAAGTTAATTATCTCCGATACGGAGGAAGCGTTAGACGCTTTTGTTCAATTATAGACCTTGTATATACTTCGTTTATCTTATTTTCAATAGACACCTAATCTCTATGTACACTTATGAACAACTTCGTTGCCTCCGACACCTCTGCTGTATATTTATAAATTTTAGCTGCAAACAATTGATTGAAAAAGCAATCACTTGTGAAAACTAAATTATTCAATTGACCTATACATTCTACCATATAGGGTATTGATAACAAATTTACAATGAATAAAAAATCTGCTGAGCAGTAATTGTATATACAAGCAAAATCTATATTTACAGAATGTAGATTGTTAACAACCTCCATTTCGAGAAAAATTAGTTGTAACTTGTGTTGTAAATTGTTGGTTCATTTTCATTTTATGTCTAAATCTATAAATGCTCGATGAAATAATTTTATCACATGATTTTATTATATGTGTATTGAAAACGACGATTGTTTATCAACACTCTCAGTCATAAATGTTGATATATTATTAAACTAAACATTCTCAATGTGTTAATAAATAAAAAAAACTACATTTTATGCATGTTTTCTGAATATTGAGACAGTTAAATTCATTCATTAGTATTTTCATTTCAATAATTACAAATCCCATGTGAAAAAGCTTTAGTTTATAAAAAAATTGAAAATCTCAGTTAGAAATAAAACTAGATAAGAATAAATCTTATGATCATAAATTTTTTATAAGAGTGTTGTTAGAGTTTTTAAATAAGATCTTGTATCAATTCGCCTGAGTTATTTCCGTTTGTATTATTTTCTCAAATCTTCTTATTTACACTTTTAATATTAAAATTAGATATATATACATTAATGTGCATCCAGTCACAAAATATAAATATCAGCTCAATTTTCAGGTCAAATATCAATGAAATAAACTAGACATTAAATCTTTTCTAGTACCTCTTTCAGTGATCAATGTTTAAAATAAATATCGCTTTGCTTGCATACAAGTCAAGATGATATTTACATGGTGTTATACTACATAAATTTCATAATAATCTTGACTGATGCGAAACAAGCTGGAGATGTTTTTTTGCATTATTCACTTTTCGATTGGTCATGTCAGGAGGCTGCTGTCATTGTTATATTTTAATTTCAGTTATTTATCAAGCAATAAAGTTTTTCTCTAACTAAAATTGTACGTTGAATTTTATATATATTTCATTTACCAATTGCTAGATAAATAACCGATTTTTCAATCAGACAAAGGCACAGAACTCCACATTCTTTGAATCACATTAGAGATCGTCCTTCGTAGAAATGTCTTTTAAAACCAGATCTAATGCAATTGTTCCAGTTATAAAACTAGTATGTTTAATTTCTTCAGAATTATTGTTTCGTTTTCTATGTAATAAGAATTCACTTTCGTTGTTGAAATATCTCCTTAGACAACGCTTAGTGCTACGTCATGCTTCTTTAATGCAAAAAAAAAAAAAACGAAATCAATTAGAACCAGTACATACAGTGCCGGTCAGCCACTTTTACCCCCCCACGGGCAAAATCAGTCTAACTTCAAAGTTTTATATCTCTGGTAGAAATTAACGTACAGAGACGCGCGTGGGTGCGTTTGAAAGGTCTTTTGGAGAGCTTTCAAATGATATGACTCACGGTTGCCATCGATTGTTTTTTTAAATTTTGCAACAATTATGCAAAATTGAAAATTCTGAAATTTTTTTATTATTTTTGACAATTAGCCAATTTTGGAAAAAAAATCGTACGAAAATTTGAAGTACACCATTTTTTAGCTATTACCAAGCCCTATCTGAATCACTCATCAAAAATTTATTTTCGTCAAATATGACGCGCGCACGGGCATTTTTTCCAGGAAGTGACAGTTTTTTTCAACATTTTTTATCTCCGTCAATTGTAATTATTGTAACAATCGAAAAAAATTTTATAGGAGAAAAAATGTTTGTTTTTTCACGTAGAATAGTGCAATAATTTTTTTTTCGGGGTTTCGAAAAATTTTTTTTTACGGTTTTTTTTAATTTTTTTTTCTCACAGTCGGTACGCTAAAAAGACGAGAAACCACAAAAAAAAATTTTTTCCACCCATTCAATAATACTACATAACAAGTATCGTAAATTACATCAAAAAAAAAGTCTTTTTTTTTTCGACCTTGAAAAATAATTTAAACCGAAAAAAAAAAATTTTTCGAAAAACCGAAAAAAAAAATTATTGCAGTATTCTACGTGAAAAAATAAACATTTTTTCTCCTATAAATTTTTTTCGGTTGTTACAATTTGACGGAGATAAAAAATGTTGAAAAAAACTGTCACTTCCAGGAAAAAATGCCCGTGCGCGCGTCATATTTGACGAAAATAAATTTTTGATGAGTGATTCAGATAGGGCTTGGTAATAGCTAAAAAATGGTGTACTTCAAATTCTCGTACGATTTTTTTTCCAAAATTGGCTAATTGTCAAAAATAATAAAAAAATTTCAGAATTTTCAATTTTGCATAATTGTTGCAAAATTTAAAAAAACAATCGATGGCAACCGTGAGTCATATCATTTGAAAGCTCTCCAAAAGACCTTTCAAACGCACCCACGCGCGTCTCTGTACGTTAATTTCTACCAGAGATATAAAACTTTGAAGTTAGACTGATTTTGCCCGTGGGGGGGTAAAAGTGGCTGACCAGCACTGTATTATCTTAATACTTTCTGGAAATGCACAAGATATTGCTAGAAAAAAACGTGCGCATCGTATTACTACAGAGCTTTCCATGTTTCATACAATTTTTATTTATTCAAAACCAAAAAATAGACTGATATAAAATAAAACGATGTAGCAATCGATAATGGTAAAACAAATATACATATATGACTGTAAAATTGAAATCTCCATATCGGCGCACTTTTTTCTAGTTCTATCCCGGTGCAGCAAAGTAAAGTAAAAGTTTTTCAAATGAACCGCAAACAAGAAAACAACAAAGTTCTCTCCAGCTTTCCCAAAACAGACATCCACATTACCACCCATATCGCCCACATTCTCATGTTATAAGACAGACAGCAGTCTCCGAAACTTTTGTTTTTCACTCTCCACCTTCACCCCCCCCCCCCTCCCCCCCAACGTACACGCAGTTGACTATAAACACATATTATATACATAGAGTTGGCGGTCGCGCACTCATGGGTACACAGAGAAAAAGAAAGAACGAGTATGGATCGATGGTGGGCGCATTAAGCGCGTAACGTTGGCTGACGTTGTCCAGCCACATATCATCTCGACAGGATACCGCACAGCAGCGTCAAACCGACTGACAGACCAACCGAAACCCTCATCAGGCTGGACGATGCTGCCGAGCTGGAAGCCGCCCTCATAAGGTCCTCGCACACACCTGTGAAACAATTGCCCTTGCGTTATTTACATCCTGTCACTGTGTGGCCTATTTTGCGGTGACTGTACTTTGTCTTTTGGTGGCATTGTTATAGGATCGGTTAATCGTTTCAACGTTACGAGTAATGAATTTATTATTTTAATGAGCCAATTTCTCTGTGAATTGTCTTCGAGAGTGACGAGTAAGCTGTCAAGATTTTTTTTCTTATTGCATATGCACCTTGATTAGCGAGCTTGTAAGTCCACTGATCGGCGGAAACGCTTCGTTGACAGACAGTCTGTGGCCTCGAGAGCCAAAGTTCCTGTTGTTCCACTCTGCCGACTCTACCAGGTAATTCCTTCGTGCTTTCGCTCACTCGCATCGAGACGCACAGCGTCTCCTTCTCCAGATCAGTTTTGTTCCGCGACACGATGGTATACCATGTGCCGTTTTCCTCCCAGCTGCCATGACACGAGTAAGCTGAAACTTAATTTTAAAAAAGAGTGGGTTTATTGTACCGGCTTGTTGCTTTTTCAGAAAAGGTTCTATTTCTTTCACGTAAATTCAACAATTTCATCGAAAATAGCTATTGTTCGTGCAATTTTCAGATTGCTTCAAAAAAATATTGGTAAAATTAAGTGACTTTCGAAATTTAATAAGACAATAGACGTGCGCGATTACATTAGATGCGATGAAGAATTAGAAATACTGTGAATCTCACCCATATCCGTCCTCTTGCATGATTCTTGAATGATCATTTCGTTTTGTCCAGAAGATGTGCAGCCAATCTGAACGTCGGCATTTTGACAATCGTCATTTGGCATTCCAGCCTCGTTACTGTCTTCGGCATACGACCGTTTTATCACCAGACTTCGATGGTGTCGAGAAAGTTTTAATTGAGGTGTTGAGACGAGATCAAGAACTGTATAACGACCGGGTTGTGGACAAGAGCGCTTATGTAAATTCGATGCTATTTAGATGAAATAAAATCAGTAATTAGTAAATTATTTTTGTTACTTAAATCTACAAAGATTGAATTGTAAAATGAATGATGGCTTACTAATTAACGTGTCGAATCGTTGCTTCGACGGGTCATCGAGCGAGCAAGCTTCGTGCGGCATAATCATCTTTTGACCTGGAAAAATGGGTGAAATTTCCATTGAAGTTAGAACGTTCAATCGAATAATCGAATAATAACGAACGTTCGCGTAGAAAATTGAATAAAATTTTACTCACTCGATTGCTGGATCTCGATGACGTGTCCGTCCCGCTTGCGAAAGATCATGCACACGTAGCCAGTATCACTGCAATCAAGAGCGAGCTTTCAGTGCGATTACCCGCAACAAAGGCTTTTTTTTAAATTGAAATAGAACTTACCATCCACTAGTGACGTGAGCAACGAGTTTGACAGTAGTGCCTCGATGATCGCTTTGCACTTTTTCAAGATTGTGGCAAATCACCTTCTCTTCTCGATCATACTCGTCGCGGTAGGTGACCTTCAGGGTAGAGTTGCCAGTGGTGAAGTGGTAACTGCGCGATCCGTCGAGCAGGTGCCAGTCGTGGTGCTGCGTCACCCACGAGGGATACTTGCACTTGGTGTGCTCTTTGTCCACTGCGAAAAAAACAGAAGACAGACATAGGGTCGTGCGGATGTAATGACAGATGAAATCCGGAAATGCAAACCTTTGATAAAATGGAAAGTCCTTGCCCCTTCGGTGACTGCAGTGAGGCCGTTGCAACTTTGATCGCCCGACTGCGATATCAGATACTCAGTCTTGTTGCTGTGGTGAATCTTTTCGTACAGGAAGCACCTGCAAACAGAATAAAAGAAATAAATCGATTGATTCGTCGTCGGAGGCAACGTTCTCAGTTGGTGCGGATCAGTGTCGCCCTTAGCCGCGCGCTCTTTTATGTCTACGTTGAAAGAGCGAGTAGTTATAGGGCACTTTGAGAGCGTCGTCCCAAACTTGAAACCGCGAGTCGTGGGTAAGTTGTCACGTGGCCTCTTCCTAGATGAATCAAGGCTTTCGCTTCTGCTGAACTTTCTTAGTACTCGCCGCCACCGTCGAGAGAAACTCCCTTGTTTGAACGGGGCTTTGTGCAACGCGTGAAATTATCAACATTGTTAGACCGTGACTCGTCTTTTCATACGCTTCTTTTCAATACAGTTACAAGATTTCAGCGTTGCATCAGGACACAAAAGAATAATATATTATGCGTGGGTAGGCATCAAGCATTCACAATGTATATTTTCTGAGATCTAATAGAAGCCAAAAAGTGTAGTGTAACTATTTACGAAGAAGATGAACATTTGATGCTTATATACCTCTGCATAGATTTTTTTTCTTTCGATATACTTATAAGCAAAAATAACAATCAAACGGAGCACTTGAATTTCATGGACTGGCAGATTTTGACGAGTGCTGGTACTTTCTATTAGCAAGTATGCGGGCGTTGCTTTTTACCAACATGTGATTGAAAAAACCGAGTGATGAAGCTAATTCGAACCGAGCAAGGCAGGATTAATGGCTGCTAGCAGATTCGCTGATGAGAACAGTAGCTCACTCGAGAAGAAAAGATCACCGCGACCCGCAGTTCAAAGACCAACATTTAAACTTTGAATGACACTTGTACTCGTTGAGCGCAGCAAATTAGACGTTTCTTGGGACACCGAAGATTTTCTCGTAATTCAATTTGCATCGACAACCCTGACTCGTCGTACCCTCTTGTATTTTCTAATTTCATTAGAGTCAATTCTAACAGAATGTAGAAATAGTTATAGATGAAAAAGTTAAATAATTAGAAAATCAATAAAATAAATAATCATGAAACAGTGAAGTGATTAAAAAAAAAAGTTTTGCATTATATCTAACTGGTTTGCATTGCATATTTTTTTAAGAACAGAGTATACAGTTATTTTTATTTGACAAAGACAAGAGCAGTTGTGAAAAGCTTGACACTACAATATTGACTTCTATCTATTTAAGAATGTGAAAGAGGCCATTTGGCAGTATCCCAATTAGTATCCCGAAAACCGCCGCGACGCCCAAGACAAATACCTTGCCGGTGAAGACAAACGCGAGCAATTAAGATAAAGACAGAGTCGAGTCCGAAGATGCGCAACGCACCTGTAGGTGTCCTCGTAGACCTGCGGTCGTCCGGGCACTTTGAGAGTGCCCAGCAGGTACATGATGCGGCCGTCCTTCCACGTGGCCAGGCACTGCAGCTCCTCGGCTGTGAACAGACAGCACGCGTAATCCAGTTAGAGTCGAATGGCACTGGGCACTCGCGCCTTCTTTCGGAGACTCACTGCTGCTCTCGGCGCCCTTGATGTCGGCGCAGGCCTGGTACTTGAGCAGCAGCTTGCTGTCGTCGGTGCAGCTCTCGGCCTGGTTCTCCAGGGCCTCGCAGTCGCCGTGGCCGCGGTTGTAGCTGAAGCTGAACGGCATGCCGCTGAACGGGCAGCTGATGGGCTTGGCGTCGATGCGGAACATCGAGTAGAGGCTGTCGTCCGAGGCGAGCTCGCCGCAGGCCGTGTCCAGGTCCACCTCGTACGACAAACAGTAGGACGCTGCCGCGGAAAAAGAGAAAAGCAAACGCGCGTAACGACTGCCGAGCTTCGAGTGAATGCCTCGTTCGCGAGAGCTCGACCGCGAAAATTCAATCTGCCAACGAGTTTTTCGCAAGCGCACATCGGCGCCCCGGTAAAAGGTAAAGGGGACGTATTTACTCCTCCCTCCCCGCAGTATTTACGGCTGCCAGAAAAGCCCGCTCCCCGGGGACACCACCTCCACGGTCCTTTGATAATTTATGCATTTCGGGCATAATCTCGCTGTCTACCGCGCTGCTCTATGAAAGCTTCCCTCTTGACTAAGAGATGAACGGTGTAAGGGTCCGACTGAACTTTACCCACGCGAGTCTGTTTTGCAGATGAGCATCTCTTATTTGTCGCAAGCAATGAAATGTTTGTCGTTCTCTGAACGAGCGTTAGAAGCAAAGAAATTTTAGATGTAAAAAATATATTTTTCGATTAAATCTCGAGTTGACATTATCATATAATTATGTAAAATATTCCTTAAAAGAAGTTTAGAGTACCAATTAAAAGTCGAGATAAGAAATAAGTATTTATTTTTGAGCAAAACCTATGATGATCATGGTAATGATCGTACAATTATCGTTAAGTAAATATTGCGGCAAAGTAAGAGAAGAGGACGGTATTTTTGTTCGTGAGTCGCGACCGAATGAAAATGACCGTGCAAAAACTAAAGAATGTTTTGAGCAAGGGAACAATCAAAGCAGACGAAGGAAGATTCTGTTTTCTTTTTGAGCAGAACAAAAAACGGGGCTTGGCATTTTTTGCAAAACAATCGACGCGAGGGATGAGAGGAGAGGAGTAGCTGCTCCATAGTGACAATGGCCGGCAAAAACTCGGTCGGACTGCGGGTTCGGCAGTGGGGGTTTCTCTTGATTAAGCCTCTGCGCGCGACGACGACGACGACTCGACGCATCCGAACAATGCGTTCGGCGCATTGTCTTTATTGGCCGCCGCGGACTCGATCCCTTTTAAAGTGACAATGCGACGCGCCATTATTTCGCGACGACGACGACGACGACGACGACGACGACGACGACGACGACTGCTAAGGAACTGCTCTTCGTTATGTATTTTTTTGCTCGAGCGAGTTACGGCACGGGCGGGCACGACAAAGAACTGCGAGTGGATGCGCATTTAATAGGGAACCAGGCTCCTCGCTTGAGAAGCAGTTGATGTAAACGTCTATTCTTCTCTTTTTTCTACACTTGCGACATTGCTAGCATTCTTTGATTGCCGATTGCCTCGCGCGAAGCTACTTCCAGGCTTAAACTGTGGAGACTGTTTTCTCGATAGAAAAAAAAACCGACGATGCCCGCTTCGATGCGTACTTTTTATAAAAAGAAACCTTGTTCGTCAATAAAGGTATAATTGTAGAGACGGATATTTCGAAATTCTTGAAATAGCGAAATCGAACTATTTATCAACTCTTGGGGCTTCGACAGACGATATGATCTTCGATTGTTCTCTTCACGACGGGCTCGACAACTTGATTATTTTGGCATGTCTGAGTAAACGACACAAATATCTAGCAAAATTACGATTGTATGCGATTGCTATAGCGGTGGTATATTTTTATTCTTAGTAAATAAATATATCAACACGTATCGTCATCTCCGATTTCTATTTTCAAAAGTAACTCGCATTTATTCATCAATTTTTTACAAAATCTCCAGCGATATTGAATAGGAAATGCTTTGTAAAAAGATGCTCACAACGATTCCACGGCATAATGAGCGAATTTCCAAAATAAACATAGACTAGGTTAAAAATTCTACGATGACGAAAAAATAGGATTTCCCGTTATTGAGATAACATCGAAAATCAAGTATCCAGTTGACTGCTTCACAAACGCTGCACCGCAAATTCAATGTCGCGAGAAAAAGCGAACAAGCCGAAATACTAATAAATATTCGGCGGGAAAATTTCAATAAACCGCAGCAAACATTGGCATATCGATCTCGGCTGGCTGATATGCAGCCTCTGTCAAGGGGCAAAAGGTCGGAGCGCGCCAAGAAGAAAATATACAGTTCGCGCCTATGGGCTTTTGATTTACGGCCGCCTCGCAGGCTGCATTCGGAGACACACGCGATGCGCACTCTCGCGCGCGGAGATTTATATCGACGCCTTCTTATCCGCGACCGGAGTGCATCTAGCTGCCGGGGAAAAGTAAAAAACGACGAATAGAGTTGTTGAAACTAGGGAGTAATTGAAATCGGCGGCGTTGCCGGGCATCGGGGCTCCCGCTTTCTCGGAAGTGATCGACGTTATTAATCTCCGCAAGATAAATCGTCTATTATTAACCTCCGGCCGATCCTCTTGCGATTTGCTATTTTTTTCCTGCCGCGACGTTTAAAATGGGCTTTACCGGCGTAAAAGGGTGTATCCTCAAGGCACACTGCTGCGGGGAATGAATTTTTTTTTGCTTTGTTGTACGCGCGGGGCTCACAACTAGATTACACGATGCCGATGGAAGCGAATGCGCTCTTTTCACGGCAGTCTGATCGATGGATGAGTCGTAAAAAAAAAAGAACATTGAAATGGCGCGCATTGTGCTGCAGGTATAAGTTTGAGAATCAATACGATCGCAATCCACTCTATGTAAATAGGAAGTAGAACTCGGTCAATAATCTGACGCTTTACACGCTCGCTAAATTTCGAAATTGCCATTGCAACGGCAAACAATATCCCTTTCATGTTTCGTCCGCACGCCAAGCCAATCAGCAGCCTCTCTCTCGTCGCATTCATATAAGCCGCGCGCGCACCTTTTTTTTTTGCTCCCCGCTCGTGCAATACACTCGTCCGCGAATAAAAAGCTAATCTGCATCCCTCTCGACTCTCTGCATTGGCCTCCCGTAGAGCGTTAAGAAGACTCTATAAGTTCTTTTATTCTCACGCACAGTGGGGAAAAAATTGATACGAGCTCGCTTCTGATCGGGTAGTTATCGTGAGATAGTTGCTGGAACTGATGGGATAGATATAGGATTCAGTTGCTAGAAAGGAAGCAACATCCGGAAAGTAGTTCGGAATGGCTTAGTTACTATCCGTTAAACTGATTTTATTTATATTGTATATGAGTTCAACAGTCAAGAACATGAAATAGTTCATATGAAATGGCTATTTAAGAGATCGGAAAAACTTCATTCTTCCGTCTTGTAATCAACGATAAATTTATCGCTGGCATATAATTAATGAAACTCTAATTATTAGAGTTCTCATCGAAGTAAATTGTATGTGACAAAATGATTCATTTCAATAAGTGCTTAAACAAATTTTAAACAACCATAACATTCAAAACTACAATTGAAAGATTTTTTCACTTTACAATTTTCAAGTATTATTGGATGCCATTATTTTTTGGTTTGGTTTAAGGTTGAATGCTATTATTGCGAGAACTTTTATGACGTTATGTCTGGGATCACAAGATTACATACCAGATTTTTTACCGGGAAACAAAGCTAAATCTGTTATCCACGAAAAGTATGAATCAGGGATTAGAAAGTTAAGAACTCAGGAATACCGTTTTCAAGTTCTAATAAATTAAGTTAACAGAACTTGATAAATTGTAATTTTGAGATTCTCTACTGACATATCGTTCACTGGAATAGTGGATAACTCACGAACTTAAAAAAAGTATATAAGCAAAGGCAGTTATCGACATTTTGGTGTAAAAGATCAATTACTCGTTAATAACAACTATGAACTGACATCGGAACAGTTTCGAATAATTCAAAGACTTCGCCAAGGTTTATCGGCAACTTAAGGAGCGTCACGAAAAAGAAGTGTGATTAGATTTCAGGAAATAGATTGTATCATTACTAGATATTGTACACGACGATGCACGTGGTAAAGATAAAGTGGCACGAATAAAAAGATGAAATGCTTTGTAAAAAAACGAAATTTAGGTGAATCATACGTTTGAGTTTCAAAAAAATGTTTCGAGCGTACGCCTCTCATCCCCTAATTCCGGCTGTCACATCAAAATCACGCTGCTGGGCGCACAAGCGAATCAAATCCGCCACTCGAATCGAAGACAATCGCGCGAAGCTGAGGGGTACGTCAGCGGACAATGCTCAGACTCACGGCCGTGACGTAAGCGAGGCCGACACCCCTTGTGCGATTTCATGTGTGTCAGGAGGCTGCGATTTTTTTGTTCACTCTCTCTCTCTCTCTCTCTCTCTTCTTTTTTTATCGAATCGGTTGCCACGCCACACTCTTGAAAAACAATTACGAAAAACAACGAACCGAACTGCAGTCACTTCTCGGCATATGGCACGAGGGTGAACCCACCCCACTTTTTTTCTCTTCTCGCGGATCAACTTTTTTCTATCGTCGAACAATTTCGAGTGTTGCGTCGTGGACTTTATCGGCTCTACGTGGGCGTACGTACATCAATCTTAGGGAGCAGCGATCGCGCTGTTGTCTCCTGTAATGGCTCTGCGGCCGTGTTACGTTGTGTTGTGACGAAAAAAAAACCCATAATGACCGGGTGATTAATCAAGGGGCATTAATATGATTGAGGGTGCCTCTACGACCATAATTACCTAATTACGACTAGCCGTTGTAGCTTTTACGTGGTTGGACTTGCCTCTATATTGATAATCCATTAGGACACCTGGCGTCACCTGCGTGTCGCATCGCGATAGCAGCTTCCCCGCCAAGATTTCTGACATCGATATAACAGAGCGGTTTCTACTCGTTCACGTTCGACGATGTGTCGGCTGACGTTAGGTTTCGATATCGCGTTCTACTTGTTCAAGAATCTCGCGACAAGAGGCGGCGGCGGGGAAAAGCACCTGGCAGTGCGGCCCAAGTTTGTACGTATATCGTCGCGATGCAGGCGCCGTTACAGCCGGACGTCCGATTTCATATTGCGTCGCAGTGTATCGGCCGCAAGTTTTATTCGCTTTCCACTCGCGCTGCAGCGGCATAATACCACGCAGGGACACATGGCCGCCGCCGAGGATTTATGAGTTTTTAACGACGCTGATGCGCGCTGAATTATCATCGCTCTCTTTGCCGTCCGTCCTGTTCCCCCTTTTTTATGAGTTTCTCCTACTTATGCCTGCCTAATGGCGGATTTTTACGGGATTTTCCTGGCGGATCATGTGCAATATTTTATGGGTTTTCGCTCCCTCTCCCCGAGACTCGTGGCTTAAAGCTAAATAATTTACACAGTTCAAAAGAGTATTCGATAAAAATAATGAGCGTTCCGATGTTAACTAGCGGTTTTTTTCAGTAGTAATGGCAGCGATTGATCAGGATCGCATACTGCTTCAAACAATTGCGATTTAATTGTTGAAATTGCTATATGGGCTTATTATCAATGGCTCTTTATCGCGTGATTTATATAGATAGCAATAAATTAAATTGACTCACATTCTCGGTACTGGATGACGTTCTCGTGTCTCTCGGTGAATATCATACACCGATAGCACTTTTCCGTGCTAAAATTGGAAAAAAAGAGAATTCACGTTATTTCCCGTAGGATAGCGATTTAGAGTTTAATTTACTTGACAAAGTCAAATAAGGAGTGGATATATGCGTGTGTGCGTGTGCGCCAGTCGACTGAAGTTAAAAGGGGAAGAAAAGTTGTGAATAAAAAATGCAAAGTTCGCGGCGATGGCAGCGAGGAACGTTTTTTCAAACTTACTTTTCATCGTAAGTGAGGAAGGTGTCGTTGCCTTTCCTAGCTATACATCTCCTGTCGAGCAAGTGCGTCGAGTTGGCGATGATGGGTCCCTCTTTGCCCATCTGAAACCACCTCCCGCTGTAGGTCGATGGAAAGCTGCAGTCTACAACATAAAACACACGTATTGCCTTGGCACATCTCTTATTTACTTTGGAAAAGTCATTGTGGCTATTGATCAGTTCGTATTAACGGTCGTTTTTCGAATCTCACATATGCTAAAGATGAGTCACATGAATTAAAAATTTTAAAACGTCGTGTATATGAATGAACGCTGAAAATAAGCGTGCCTACAACTTTCACATGTATGTTTCAACGCGAAAGTGAAAGCTTGTAACTGAAAGAATGCAGAGCTTTGATAAATCCCGCCAACCATAAATTCTAAAATTTGGCGGGCTCTTAACGCCAAGTAGCCGTAAAGAGGAGAATCAAAAGTCGCGGCATTCAAAGGCCGAGCGACCGGCTGAAAACTCAATGATTGAGACGTCGACGACGAACGTGTCAGCCGCTTCGTTAGAGCCTTTGCATCCCACTTTATAAATAGACGTTTATGCGTTTTGTCGCGGTCTGCGGAAGTCTGGCCTGCTGCAAACATCTAAGATGTGAAGCTATCAACCGCTGCATATAAGTTGCTTGCAAAGTGCAACGTAAAATGAGCAATGCGCCAGCGTAGAAAACACTCGTGAAAACAAAAGATACTCGGCTGGTAGAAAAGCAATAATCATTCGGCCAAATGTCGAGTTTTGCGGTGTACTTGAGCGAAAGCGCGCGCGTTGCGCCATGGCGAAGCAAAACGAGGGTCGGCTAAACGAAAATAAAATTGGAGCAAAAAAAGACCCAACGGCGACAGAACGGCGGGTAATTGTTATTCTGCGGGCACTTTTGCAATTGCTTGGATCAACAGTGACTCGCCGAGCTACGCTGATTTGGATGGGAAATTTCGATGATTCAGAGTGCGTTTGGGTGCTGAAAGACCGATTCAAAGTCGTATTTGCAGCTTGTCCCAGTAATGCGACGACGGAAAGAAATGTATCGAAGATGCCAAGTGTCTTTCCGTAATATATTCCAAATTACATCGTTGATATCACCCGCGCTATTATTATGCGCATAATCCTAGTATAATATGTCAGTTCTGATCCCGAGCAAAACAAGAAAAAGAAAACAAGGAAATCGTAGGGATGGCTATTCAGCAATTCGTCAAGAGCAGAGCCAGAGCTTGGGGCTCGGGCACGAAACTCGAGCGTTTCTCCCCTTTGAGTATACAACTACAACATCAGTGGCGACACACAAGCCTGGGGGGGGGGGGCGTGCGTACACACGCGTGTGCCCCGAACAATGGCGTTAATTGGAAGACAAGGCCGCGCCGTAGAACCGCACATGTGACTGCGCTCCCTCGAAGTTGCAGTTTTCCAAAATGGAAATGACCTGCCCGCTGCGCTGCTGCAACGGGCGGACAGACAGTATCGGTGAGTATTCCGTGGGAACAAAGCCGCGCGCGCGCAAAAACACGTAACGCCGCTCGTTGCCGCTTGCTCGTTGTTGTCTCCAAAGCAGCCGCGGGGTTGAGCGAGTTGTTCGAGAGAGTCGTCCGACAATCTGTACTTATTTTTACGATCTCGAACGGGCTCACGTTTTGCAAGCCTGGCATGCGGCGACAGCATTTGCTTTCCGGCTGCCTATGCGCGCGGACGTACGAGTGCGCGGATGAACTCGCGGATGGACGGCAGAATGACGGGCCGCGGGATTTTTGAGCTTTATTGAATTGTAAATCGAACGATCAACCGAATAAAGTAATTCTATTCGAATGAAAATAGCCGAAAGAACTGGTTTCTCAAAGCGAATTGATTGGGCGCCGCAATGAGGTTAACTGGGAAAATGTGCAACGACGTTGGTGAGCGCGATAATTCTAGACATTTCTATCGAAGAAATGATCGTTAAAAAATTCTGGGAAGAAATAACCGCAGCAGGCGTTAATTGGCGGTCAACTCGAACGCTCGTTCTGAAAGTCGGGAGTGGCTTCCACTGATACCTATTTCTCACGAGCTATTGCCGCGATCACGTTCAAAAAATAGGGAAATCTGTGGATTCGGCGGCTTCTCGGACGGATATCGGCCGCCAGCTACGTGGAAAGGTCGCAAACGGTTTAAGGAGCGCGAGGGCGTGAAAATCACGGGCAGCGCACGAGTCATGGCGTTGATTGTTCGCCGAGGTATACCTCGGGATTCAGTTTTCGCTGCGAAATAAAAACTAGTTTTACGCCACGTGAAAGTTGGCTGTTTTTTGTTGCGCTCTGAGGAATAATGAACTGAAACTAATTTGAAAGTGATTTTCCGAATTATAGTAATGCAGCTTGAAGCGTAGGCAAACTTACGGTGAAACGTCTTTATTACAAAAAAAAAACGAAGCTCGAGTTGGTTAGGTTGCGGAACGGTGGTTATTTGCGTATTGAAGAAAGCATCAATAATACCTTATCGATGCAACGACAAAAAAATGGCATTGACAGTGCAGCGAAGCCCTGGAGCACCTCGCAAAAGTAATTAAAGTTCATTGAAAAAGCAGCAGGGCGATCGGGCAAAGCACACGCGCGCATTTATTGGCGCAGAGGTTTGGGGGCAATAAAGCGAGTGAGTTACAAACGGTTTAATCGGCAGAGGGTTACGGAGGCATTTATTGCCCCGACAAAGCCTGGCCGGCCGCGCCGCTGGGCATCTGCCTCGGACGTTCGGCCTAATTGCATTTGGCATTGGCTCTTCCCCCCTTGCTCACTTGATTACTCAGGCACGTCTCGCCCAGGTGAAATTTTGGCGGCACAGGTGATAAGAAGACGAGTGCCTACCCCAAGACGCGCGCTTCGTGAGCCACTGCGTCGACGAGCTTTTCCATCCGCGTCGGCTGGCAGGATCGCTTCGAATGCCAAATTAGCGGATGCCCGCAGATTCGCCGCGGCGTGTTGAAACACGACGCCGATCCACGGCCGATATGGTTAGTATGCATGACGAAACATCGATTCCAACTGGCTCGAAACTCGCATCATGACTAATGAACTTTTCGTTATCTGTCGGCTCAGCAGTCTTGCGGACATTTGAAAAACAAGAAGGGGGGGATCTTGGAAATTACAGATGTGGGGGAGTCAGCAGGGGGCATATCTACCCGCGCACTGCGCACTTGGGCAGGAAGTCGTCGCTTAAGTGCACGTGTCATCGGAGGGAGACTTCGAGAATCTCACGGCCTTTGCATTTTTGATGCTTCATCTTTATCGGCTAAGTTTAGATCGAATTACCGGCTGAATTATCACTTCAAACGTGCGGGAGCTACGTCGATGGGGATTATCTCGGCATATCGATAAATATGCAGCTTCCAATCCTATGAATTCTTATCGCTCGATGCCTTTTGGCCTCGGAAAAAAAAAATTGCTATTATGCTCCAACTGGAAAAGTGTACTATCGGTAGACATGTGAAAAAGCCGAATAAAGGAAAACAGTCGCCTCGCAGGGAGTCGCGTTTGCGTGCAGCGAAGAGGCGCTACGTGACCGTAATTTCACGACGGCAGCGCGCGGAGTATGAATAAACGCTCTGATTGGCCGGCGTGTTCGCGAGCTGGCGCAGTCGCCTAATTGTGTCTATTTTGCGCGGGGGCCGCCTCTACGGATTCGATTAGGAATATCCGGCGGTCGATCAAAAAGCGTTTTCGGGCTCACGATTGCCTTTGTTTTTCCCGTGCGGGCGATAAATTTCCAAAAGTCGAGCGCAGCGCGCGCGTACGTGATGTTTCTACGAAAGCAAATCAGACTGGCGGCGAGGCGGACGGCGAGAAAGTCAATGACGTTTCGGCCGACAGAAAAAACATATTGCAGTCGCGCAACGACTGATTTCGCGCGCGAATTGTCCGCGCGATCCCGCGAGATTACGCATTTGCACTCTCGTCTCGATGCTGCAAAATGGAATCTATAAAGGCGCAGTTCTTAAAAAGTGCCCGAAGTCGCATGCAGCGCGCATCCCCGGTATTTACCTGCGAGAGCACGAGTATCAATATCCGAGTTGGCTGGGCTACAACACACACGGAACTCCTCTCCGGCGGGGAGTTCATGCTCCGCGGACGATATATTGGCATGCCGAGGCCGTTGCGCCGCGAGCTGCAGCCACCCTTTTCGGCCGCCGCGTGGTGTTATATACGGAGTGCGCGTGACGCCAGGCGCTCTCAGGAGTATGCACGAAGGGCCGTCGTGAATATTTTTTCTTCTCGACATTTTTTTACCGCACGAATGTTTTCATTATAAGTAAAATTGTAAACGTTCGCCGGACGGGATCTTTCTCCCTCGCGAAACATTTGCAGTCAAGTGAGAATGCATTCGGGATATCGGGCATTGATAATTGCGATTGGCAGCCACTTCACCGCTTTAATTGAAAACGTCTGCCGTGTTAGATCTCAGAATAAACATCTAATCCATCGCATACTCCTCTTTCTGTTCGTAAAATATACAACGTTCAATTTGGAATGAGGCTTCGTGTCATTGCATATAAAAAAAGCAGAGCGATTGCGTGTCGAACGTCAAATGCCACATAGACAATCGAGATTGTCGTGGTGATTGCGGCTTCGTCCGAAAGCCCGTGTAAATTGTTTTGTTTTCTCGCGTTGATCGAATGGCGATAAGTCGGAACGGTATGCGTTGAGAAAAATGACGAGTTTGCGAGTCGTGAGCTCGGGGTAATATTCGATGATTTATCGTTTCGTTGATTGCGCGTGTTGCGAACTGTCGACTCGCGTGCTTTGTGAATTATTGAGCAAACTATACTCGTTTGTGAAGCTCGTTGTTTTTACAAGGAATAGCAAAACCTTCCAGAAATAGAAAAAAAGTCATTAGTCAAAACATATGTCGGGATTTTCCATACTTTACACCATCAGGAATGAATATTATGATTGAGTAACCATCCAATGATCTACAATTGATATTTGAAACATTAAAAAAGTATTCGCTAGACCAACTGAAGCTTTCAATGATACGATTTGCAAACGAGAGCTGGAAATATGTATACGGGCTGCGAAGCATAATAGTATGTACATCAGTTCCTGCGTTACTCTTTCAATAGCAGTAGCAAGCAATGGGT